ACAGGTCATTCACCCAAGGGTGTGGGGGGGGTGTGAACACAGGTTGCACACCCACAGAGCTAGCTCTCCTTCAGCTATAGGAACCTCAAAGAAGGTGAGAGGAAAAAAGGAAGAAGTGGTGCTTGGGAAGTGTGTGTGCTGACTTCTCAGTGGGGTGTTGGGAGAGTATTTTCTTCCAGTTGGAGACTGGGCAGTAGGGAGCCGTCCTCCTCTGAATACTCACTGGAGACGTGTTATTTTTGTTAGGTGGACGGGGAGCTCTGCCAGACGGTGTCTGTACCTTATTCTGTATTTTTTTTGCAAGAACATTTGTAGAAAACTCAGAATAGCAGTTAATGTAAGGTTAGAAATCATGTGTTTGGAGCCCTTTCCACAATTTGAAGTGTTTTTCCTTCTACGAGTTCGTCCCAGCCCCTGGATTGCCTGGCTCGTCAGTCTCACTGCGTCCCCCCTTTCCTCCCGCCTCCCTCTGCCACCCTGGCCACGGCAGCTGGGGCCACCGCTTGGGCCTTTGTTCAGACGTCCGCAGCCGGCCGTGGTACCTGGCTGGTGGGAAGCCCAGTCAACGTCGGAATATACACCCTGGGATCTGCTTTCCCTTCTCTTTTCTTCCTGCTGCTGCTTCTGCTTTTTATTCTTCTGGTTTTATGTCCTCATTCAGAACACACAGACCCACACCAACCAGGTGTTCTGCATGCAGCCCTGCACAGCGCGTTGTTGATCGCCAACAAATGGCAGCTTGGAAAGGGAAATCCAAATTTAGGGTCAAGACTGCGGGGGTTAGCCCGATAGAGCAGGAGAGTCTGAGGATACCTTGTCTGAGGGATGGGCCTGCTGGCCTTAGTCAGAATCTGCTCTGCAAGCACAGCGGATTAAAAGGGGTTTTTGAGGTAGAGCAGATGGACAGGGAGAGGCAGAGTTCACATTAACTGATCGTAAATCAGGACTCCGCTGTAGAAGGGAAAGATCTGGGTCTGGTCACTTAGAAGTTTGAGCTAATTTAATTTATTCTTCTTTCTTATTAGAAGAACACCTCATGCTTATAAAAAAAAAAAATCACCGTGAAGAATTTAGGAAGTATGTGTGCCAGAGAGAGGGATAAATTCCCTATGTCCCCAGAAAGAATCACCCGTCAACCCCTCCAGCATAATCCTCCTGATTTTGTCTGCCCTGCCAACATCCCCACGTATACATATACAGTTATTATTCAGTAAGACTTAAAATACATATTTCTCCGGGCACCTGGGTGGCTCAGTCGTTAAGCGTCTGCCTTCGGCTCAGGTCATGATCCCAGGGTCCTGGGATCAAGCCCCACATCAGGCTCCCTGCTCCGCGGGAAGCCTGCTTCTCCCTCTCCCACTCCCCCTGTTTGTGTTCCCTCTCTTGCTATGTCTCTTTCTGTCAAATAAATAAATAAAATCTTTAAAAAAAAATACGTATTTCTCTTTGAGTTAAATACAAGAGAAGACTTGTAGCTAGGTCTTGAAGGTTGGAACACAAGCTCAGTGATCTTTTGGGTCAGGCCACCAGCTTCAGTTTTAGTAATAAAACCAAAGAAAATGTGTAAATTTATGTTTGGGAAAGCCAGGGCAAGCTCAGGTGAAGGAAAAGTTCATTGGCACAGAGGGCCATGTTGAATTTATGGTCTTCCATCCTTCAAGCAATGCCTTGATAACCTCCCTGGGAAGAATAGCACGTCTGTGTATATTTTTCCTGTTGCCCCCTAGTGGGACCAGAAGAAATGTTCAGGCAGGAAAAGAATTCTGCACATTGGACACTCTCTTCCCCCATTTCTTTTCTTCTTTTAATTTTTTTTTTAAAGATTTATTTATTTGAGAGAGAGCGTGAGAGTGATAGAGCCTGGAGGGGGGCGGCGGTTGGAGCAGAGGGAGAGGGAGAAGTAGACTCCCTGCTGAGCAGGGAGCCCAACACTGGCTTGATCCCAGGACCCCGGGATCATGTCCCGAGCTGAAGGCAGAGGCTTAACCGGCTGAGCCACCCAGGCGTCCCTCTTTTCCCCCATTTCTAATGCTCTGACTCTGGATTGGTGGATGTCCTCCATTCCCTCTGCACATGTTTTGACATAACAAACACTTGAGGCTCCGGGTTCCTCTCTAGCGGGCTAGGGCTCAGGCCCGTGAATTGAATTTAGTCCTGCGTTTGGTGAAAATGAAGCACATGAAACAGTCATGTCATAGTGTGAGATGCCCAAACCGGGAGAGTCTAGAAGCCCTCAAAGCAACCGAGGGTTGGTCCGGTTCATCACCACTTGCTGTGTATTCTGTCTAGAAGTCATTATTAGCGTTTGGGTGCTTCCCTCCTAGTGTCAGTTCTCCTGACTGTTACCATGACAAAATTTAATTAAGTACAAGAATTAATTAAAATGAAACCCTAGGGAACCTATTTGAAAAAGTTGTCTCAGTAGAGATAATTGGAATGCTATGGAAAATCTCAATGGTAAATTATTAAGTTATTAAACTATTAAATTTATTGATGTTATTAAAATTATTTTTAATTATTAAAATTATTACATTAGATTATCAAAAAGACACGTGATCTTTTTGATAAGACAAGTATATGATACTGTGAGAAACTGTAAAAGCCTGGAGTTGTACACTCAGATTACTTCATTAGCGTCTTTAAGTTCTTCTTAAAACTAAAGAAGCTCAAGCTGGAGATCCTGCTTAGTGAACGTTGGGTTTTTGTTGAGTGAACGAGTCCAGGGAGGGAATAGCAGACTCATGATTCCCATCCCACTTCGGCTCTCGCTGCTGGATAAAATGCCACTTTATTGAGGAGGATTGAGAGTCGTTATTACTTCCTTTCTTTCTCGGCTGAGTGTTTGTAAGTTAAATGGGCTTTTTACGAAGAGCCAGGGACGTAAAGATTTCGCGGTGTTGCTCCCTTGTGCAAGAATTGGACCCGTCACCAGAATCAAGGCCCACCTCCTCTCTGGGCTTGTTCAAAGCACTACCGGGCCCCTAGCGGCCCTTCCACCTTTGTCTCTTGCCATTTCCTGCCTTGCGTGCAGTGCTTCTGGCCTTGCTGAAGGAGGTGCAGCAGGTGGCCACATGCACGCGTGGACTACTCACGCGCCCCACTTTTTCCCATCTCCTGCCTTCCTTTCATGGGTAACTGGTAACTGTGTCGTCTGGCCAATCCCGGTCTCACCTCTCCTGCAAAGTGTATGTTGGCACCTCCCTTACCCTACCCCACTCACTCATTATTTATTTACCTGTTGCCTCGTTCCCTCCACAGGAATGTGAGTTCCGTGTCTTCCCACCTGCGGATTACCGGGCATACAGCAGGCATTCAGTAAATGGTGCTGGAATGTTGACTTTATGATCAGGAGCCTTCTGTGTGCTGGGCAGTGTTCCAGGTCCTCTTCCAAAGGGGAGAGTTACCCCCTTTCTGCTCCTTAGCACTCTGGACTTACCTGCATCATTTCACATACGATTTTGCACTAACAGCATCTGTCTGGCTCTTTTTCTTACCAGCTCATGGGTTTGCAGACTACAGCCCAGGGGCCAAATTCAGCCTACTGCCTTTTTTTTTTGGTATGACCTGGTTGCTAAAAATAGTTTTGAGCCTTTGGTGGGGACTGATTGTTGACAGATTTGGGAACCTCACTTCTTGGCCTACAAAACCTAAATTGTTCACTGCCTTGGCCCCCGTCAGCATGTTTGTTGACTCCTAAAGGAGACCGAGCTTTTTTTCTAGGATAAGGGGACTGTCTTGCATCTTTGAATTCCCATGACATAGCACTCAGTAAATGGTTTTTTTTTTTTTTTTTTTTTTTGGCATTGAACTGAATTCACTGTTTTGTTTTGTTTTTAATTTACTCTCTGGAGTCAGATGGGGGTATGAATCCTGGCTCCGATCTGTTCTAACTGTGAGGTTGGTGGTGGGGTGGGTGTGGGGATGGCGTAGTCTGAGCCTACTTTCCTTGTCTGAAAACTTCAGGCAATAACAGCTGTTTCCGATGGCCGTTGTGAGAACTAAAGGAAGTTGTAACTGTATCAGTACCTATACGTGCTTAGCACAGGTTTGTGTTTAATGTTAGCTGTTACTGTTTCTCCAGATAGACATCCAGCTAAAGTTGTGTAGTCTGATCATAACTGCATAAACAAAATATATAGCAATCACAAATTTTTTAAAGATTTTATTCATTTATTTGAGAGAGAGAGCACAAATGAGAGGCAGAGGGAGAGGCAGAAGGAGAAGCAGACTCCCCACTGAGCGGGGAGCCCGATGTGGGGATCCATCCCAGGACCCTGGGATCATGACCCGAGCCGAAGGCAGACGCTTAACCAACGGAGCCACCCAGGGGCCCCAGCAATCGCAAATTTTAAAAAATCGGTCATTTTAGGATGACTTCTTTCTTTTCAGTGGTGTCGAAAATTAAGAGTTGACTTTCCGGGGGGCATCTGGGTAGGTCTGTCAGTTAAATAAGCATGATCTTGGGGCGCCTGGGTGGCTCAGTCATTACGCGTCTGCCTTTGGCTCGGGTCATGATCCCAGGGTCCTGGGATCGAGCCCTGCATCAGGCTCCCTGCTCTGCGGGAAACCTGCTTCTCCCTCTCCCTCTCCCTCCGCCTCTTGCTTGTGTTCCCTCTTTCACTGTGTTTCTCTCTGTCAAATAAATAAATTTTTAAAAATCTTAAAAAAAAAAGAAAAAGAAAGCATGATCTTGTGATTTCAGCTCAGGTCATGATATCAGGGTTGTGAGATTGAGCCCCACATAGGGCTCTGTGCTCAGCAGGGAGTCTGCTTGAGGTTCTCTCCCTCTGCCTCTCCCCCCACTCATGTACCTTTTCTCTCTCTCTCTCAAATAAATCTTAAAAAAAAAAAAAAAAGTTGACCTTCTGTCCATGGATCTGATTCTTAGTTTTCTTCCCCTTTTCTGTGTTGTTTTTTGTTTTCTTTTGTTTTGAGGTTGAATGAATCTCACGGTACCAATTTAGAAAAGCATCTAAGATGCCATTAAGACAGAAGGCCTTATGTGCGGGGGTGAGTTATTCTAGGACTCTAAGAGGTGGGAATTTGTTCCTGGAGCAGTCCCTACAGCAGGTGAATCTCTTCCTGGAGAGGCAGGTGATGCTGATGAGGTTGGCTGGGCTGGGGAGGGACATACTTCTGGGAGGACTGTATTGACTTTGCAGGCTCGTGGGCACTCTACAAAGGCATGAAGAATTGAAATGCATTCATACATGATGTATCTTGGACCTCTTTCTTCGCAGGGACAGTGAAGGTGAAGAGCTCCAACATCCAGGTTGGAGATCTGATCATCGTTGAAAAGGTGGGTGGGATCCCGCAGTTTGTGACTGGTTGCTGTGTGAGTGTGTAAATGGGAAGTCATTGCCACTAATTCATATATCCTAACATGTAATTTGTATATCTGGTAGACTAACTGAATGTAGGCTTTTTGGGATTCTCTCCTAAACCTTTGCCTGGGGAGGAAAATTTCTTTGCCATGAGACACCCACGTAGAATACTTTTTCAAGGTTTGTGTATGCTGGTTAGCCAAAAATTCTGCTTACAAACCCAAGTTTTGATTTCCTATTTGATGTGTTTATTTTGGTGTCTTAAAAAAAAAACACCTACCATAAAGTCTTTCCTCAAAGTCTGCTTGCTGCATAAGCACATAAAAATATTTGTCATTTACCGTTTCGAGCGATTTTAGCTTGCATTTTTTTACTTAAACATTGTGCTTTTCTGTCATTTTGTGGGGAGCAGGGATGAAGTTTAATATGAGAATAGTAAAAAGGGCCAAAAATACATTTTTAAAAATAGCACCATTCATACGTTTGTGACTTCAGCAAACACTCCTGTCTCCTTTTGCTGTCTGTTTGGAAGGTCGTGGGTTTTGGGGGTGGCCCTGGAGAGGCTTGGAATAATATTTGATTAGAAAAGGATTGTGTTGTAGCTTGTTTCTGTAGGAAGTGAACTATGCTCTTTTAAAAGGATTAAATCTAAGAACTCAAAGTCTATTTGAGGTGAAGGGAAGCTCTTCTGGGTGGTAGCTCAGAAGAACCACATAAACGCTTTATGTTGTTACATACTTCTGTGTTCATAATTAAATGAGGACTGCTGTTGGCTTACGTCGTTTTTTTTTTCTTGAGAATGGCTTTTGTTGCTTCTTACTACTTGACTTCCTTATTAAAATTCCACTCAAAGTCAAACATCAAGCCAGAAAATTGGTAGGAGCAGAAAGCGTGAGCGAGTGTGTGTGTGTCTTTAGTTTCAGCAGACCGCCTGGAAGAAAGCCAGCTAGGGTAGCCGGGTTTCGGCCCGGGCCCTTCTGGCTGGAATTTCAGGAGGTAATGGTTGGTTTCTCCAGAAAACTAGAAGCTCTCTTTCCGAGATAAGATTTCAGTAGGGGATTAGTGAAGTAACAGCAGCGTGCAAGATTTTTCAGATTCAAAACAAAATAAATCCCCAGATCTGTCTGTGACAAAGGCAGAAACGTAAATGAGGCTGTGGGTTTCGGAGGGGGCCCCCCCTCCCTGCTGAGGGGGCTGGTAGAGGGGGGACGGAAACCCCACACATGGCTATTCACGGTAACAGTCTTTCTTTTCATTACACAGAACCAGCGGGTCCCTGCTGACATGATCTTCCTGAGGACATCAGAAAAAAACGGTAAACATCTGGGATCAATTTTGAAAATAACCATTAACCTTTCAGTGGTAATTTGGCAAAATAATCATTTGAAAATGGAACAGAAGTAGATGATCATTTTGGAGCCATGGAGGCAAATCAAAAACATCTCTTTTAGTAGAGCAGTCTTAAAACAAAAAACGTTTTCGGTCCTCGCAGGTCAATAGATTTTGGTCATCACAAAGATACAGTTAGTTGGGCCCAGGCTGAGTCCCAGCTGACGGGTCCACAGGCAGCGGCTATGATTTTCCTTTCTGAGCTGCTGTTGGGCTCAACTTCAGGACTTGGCGGGATCAGGAAGCGTGTTTCACAAATAGAAGCACACAGAAATCCTCTCTCTTCTGAGAAAATACCAGGAGATATGTGTGACCGTAGGAGAAGCCAGGGAGAGAGGTAGGTGGCCTTGTTGGCCCTTCGCTCATGAGCGGTGAGGCCATGCCTACCCTCACCCATGAATTTATTTATTATCACAGCCCACTTAGGCCTGAGCGAGCGGCTCCAGGCTCTTACAAGACCCTACTCAGTCCCAGTTCTTTCGCGGTGTGGCCTAAGGAGTTAGAACCGAAGGCAGACACTTAACCAGTGCCTGCCCACCCCATCTGTTGACTCTGATCTCCTCCTCCTCCTCTCTTTTTTTGTTATTTAAGCTGTTTTGAGGAAACAGGGCTGTTTTTAGCTTGTGTACAGGCACAGTCAAATCTTTGAACGTCTGACAAAGTTCGCATTTATAGTCCTTCAAGGTTGCTGCAACCTATTTTATTATGAATCAAATAAAAGTTGTAGATGAAATTTTATACTAAAAATACATTATCCAGAGATGGAGTGGAAGGCACCAGATTAAAAGTCTTCTTTTAAAATCTCCAGCTTTGTCCTCAATTGGTTCTTGTGTCCTTATCTGTGAAGATAGAGTGTCATGGATTAGGGTCCCTGAAATGCTTCCCTCCCAACACCCCTGCCCCCCGAAGATAGACATTCTTTTCCTTAATAGTGCCCAGAGGTCTTAGCTGCGGCGTCCGTGAACTCAGTACATTCTGGGTCTGATGAAATCTACCGCTGACTCATTGCTGGGCTTGCACGTTGGACAGAAATAGGCATCCATGTGCAAGCGGGTAACGAGCACATGCTCTGGTAGCACTTCCTGCATTTTGAGCAGTCTGCCAGGGTCAGCTGTAGAGTCCGCACCATTGGTGCTGTTCTGTCTGTTTTTACACTCAGGGAAACCAAGGCTCAGAAGGGCTAAGTAACTGCAAAGGACATGCAGCTAATAAGTAGGGTAGCTGGTCTTAAATCCAGGAGTCTGGTTCCTGATAAGGTGTCCAGATCTCCTGCCCAGAATGGCCTCGAATGCTAGCTGCCCTGTGCCAGCCACCATGCTGGGGGTTCTAGCACCCCGAATCTTTATAAGCAAGCTCCTGAGCTCTGTGTTCCTCCCATTTCACGGATAGGACCTGCTGGTGTTTCGCAAAGTCAAGAAACCGGCCCAGGTTTCTACTGTGAACAGATGATGGAGTGAGGATTTGTTTTTGGGTTTTTAAATTTATTTATTTATTTATTTGTCAGAGAGCGAGTGAGCACAAGCAGAGAGAGCTGCAGGCAGAGGGAGAAGCAGATTCCCCACTGAGCAGAGAGCCCTATGCGGGACTCGATCCCAGGACCCTGGGAACATGACCTGAGCCGAAGGCAGACACTTAACCAACTGAGCCACCCAGGGGTCCCTGGAGTGAGGATTTGAACCCAGATCTTCCAACCCAAAAGCTTACAGAGGAAGTGGGAAATGGGGTATTTGTTTTCCCTTTCGTTTGTTGGCCACTGATGGGATTTTTACAAAGGCCAGAGCAGGAACTACTGAGAGCCGCCAGGGGAAGGATCCTTGAATGGAAAGCGAATAGCCAGTGCCACCTTCCTTCCACAGGCTCTTGCTTCCTGCGGACGGATCAGCTGGACGGCGAGACCGACTGGAAGCTGCGGCTCCCCGTGGCCTGCACGCAGAGGCTCCCCACTGCGGCCGTGAGTAGCTCTCCTGCGGAAACACAGACTGGCCACGGTGTCCTTGTCAGGCCCTCGAACTCAGAGGCCCTCAGGGGCCAGATGTGGGATGTCAGGTGTGAAGGAGGGCTGACAGGATGGGGTCCTGGGCAACCCCCCCAGCACCTGTGGTTTCAAGTCCTGTGGCCGAGTGAAGTGTGGGGGGAGGGGCTCTTTGGAGGGAAGCTCAAGAATCTTAAGAAGCCTCAACCAGGTGCCTCGCATAAAGCTAGAAGGTAAGGCAGGTATATCGTTCCTCTGCTCAGGGCTTCCTGAAGCTTCTCGTTACTGAGAACCCACACTACAGCCCTTGCTGTTGTCCTCAAGGCCCGTGTGATCTGTGTCCCTGCCTGAACCCGGACCTCAGCCTGGGTGATCTGCCCGCCCGTGCCCTCTCCCTCCTGATCAGGCATCCTCTGCGTCCCAGCACTTGTCCTTGCTGTTTCCTCTGCCAGGGACAGTTTGTACCCCAGGGGCTGCCTGGCTGGGCCTCTCCTGAATACGTCCTGGGTTTTGTGCCCAGATCTCCTTATCTGAGAGGCATTTTCTGACCACCTTTTCCTTGCCTTCCCCCCCCAACTCACTTCAAGGCAGTATCTCCGAGAGCAGAGTTCTGCCTGGTATGTTCACTGCTGAATGAATACCCCATGCGTGGAACAGTGTGAGGAACAGCACACAGACCCCGTCTCGGGGTGGCCTAAGGAGTTAGAACCAGCAAGCTCTCAAGGGTCTGCAGGGCCCCACACTTCCCCATTAGCCCCACATCACTCAGACCATGATCTGTAAAGAGAGGCGGGGCCGGGAGCCAGAGAGTAAGTTTAAGCACGAGCCACGTGGATTGGATGTGGCCCATGGACTAGGTTACAGAGTCACAAAACATAATTTAAATGCCCAGAGACCAACATGCCCAAACAGTGGTCTGAAAGGATTAGGAAGAACATGATAACTTTTCCTGGGCTTGTGGTCACGTGGATTGATGCTGTTCCTTAACCGTGTTCTGTGAGGAAGGAGTGGGCAGGAGAATGTTCCATGTTAATATACGAGTAAACGTGCCCCCTGCCCTAATGATTTTTCATGGTCAGTGACAAGTGAAATAGCACCGTTATTAGTATTAATTTTTAAACCAGAATTCTAGAGCAGTGAGTTTTTTTTTAATTTTATTTTATTATGTTAGTCACCATACAATACATCATTAGTTTTTGATGTAGTGATCCACGATTCATTGTTTTCGTATATAGAGCAGTGAGTTTCTAACGATGGTTGGGAGCCCCTAGGAATCCTTAGGAGGCACCGTCCTGCCCCCGCGATGGGGTTCATCTAATGAAAGGGTTCTGATTTTTCTGGGTGACGCATTTTAACTTCCTGGTAAGATTTCTCCAAGGGAAGCTTTCTGATCCTCAAAATGATTTGAAGGACTCTCTTTAAGAGACAGTCTAGGGCGCCTGGGTGGCTCAGTCGTTAAGCGTCTGCCTTCGGCTCAGGTCATGATCCCAGGGTCCTGGATCGAGTCCCACATCGGGTTCCCTCCTCGGCGGGAATCCTGCTTCTCCCTCTCCCCCTCCCCCTGCTTGTGTTCCTGCTCTCGCTATCTCTGTCTCTGTCAAATAAATAAATAAAATCTTAAAAAAAAAAAAAAAGACAGTCTAGAAGTCTCTCTCTCTCTCTCTCTGTCTCTCATGAATAAATAAATAAAATCTTAAAAAAAAAAAAAAAGACAGTCTAGAAGAGCCTAGAATCATGAAGGTGCTTGCCTGTCTGCTGCACAGAGTTGCATTTGTCGGTGTGTGCTTTGGATGCGTCAGTTTAATAAACACCCATGTTGCCTGCCCCCCCTCCCCCCCCCGCCCAACCCCCGTCTGGCCTGGGTCTGGGCTGGGCTCCAGAGAAGGAGGAGATGCCACTCTCTTTGTGCCAGGAAACTCTTCCTTACTGGGCCGGAGGGATCTGAGTGGGGAGCAGCAACTGAGCAGAAGAACTGTATGAAAGGATGACCGGGGCATTACATAAATATATTCTTGTTAAAAAAAATATATATATATGGAAAGCCTTGGAGGAAGAAATGAAAAGTCTTGCTCATGGCCTCTGCCGCAGACCTTACCTGCTTCCCTCCGGGGATCATGTAAAGTCCGTGGTGATCTTTCCAGACCTCTGCCAGCACACTTTCCTACAAATGCACAACTGTGAACTTGTTGGTAGGGGGGAGCTTATACATGTATGAGATCACACTGTATTTGTGATTCTGCAACTTTTGCTCTTGTCTACTTTGAATGTGTCTTGAGGTTTTTTTTTTTTTTTGAGATTTATTTATTTGAGAGAGAGAGCAGGGAGGAGGGGCAGAGGGAGAGGGAGAGAGAATCCTCAAGCACACTCCACGCTGAGCACAGAGCCCCATGTGGGGCTCCATCTCACGACCCTGAGATCACGACCTGAGCCGAAATCAAGAGTCCGACGCTGCAGCCAGTAGCCTCTACCCCTCCTCTAGGTCCCTGTAGCCAAGGGGTATTGTCCAAATTTGCCTGGCCACCTGATTGGAGATTTTTTTTCTCCAATTTTTTTACTGTGGTAAAATACGGATCAAGTGTACCATGTTATCATTTTAAAATGTACAGTTCAGTGGTGTTGAGCACGTTTACGTTGCGCAGCCATCACCCCTGTCCATCTCTGGAGCTCTTCATCGTGCAAAACAAAAACTCTGTACCCATCAAACAACAATTCCCCATTGCCCAGCCCCTGGCACCCACCACTGTACTTTCTGTCTCTCTGAATTTGACTGCTCTAGGGACCTGATCTAAGTGGAATCATACAGTATCTGTCCTTTTGGGACTGGTTTATTTCACTTAGCATAGTGTCCTGAAGGCTCATCCATGTGGTAGGCTGGGTCAGAATTCCCTTCCTTTGTAAGGCTGGGCAATATTCCATCATATGGATATATCCCATCCATTTATCCATTGATGGACATGTGGGTTGTTGCCATCTTTTGGTAATTGTGAATAATCCTTTTGTGAACATGGCTGTACAATATCTTTGAGACCCTGCTTTCAGTTCCCAGCGAGTGGCTGCTAATCATACGGTAATTCTATGTGCAAGTTTTCGAGGAACCACCGTGCTGTTTTCCACGGTGGCTGCACCATTTTACGTTCCTACCAACAGTGCACAAGCGTTCCAGTTTCTCCCTCTCCTCGCCAATACTTTTTTGATGGTAGCCATCCTAATGGGCGTGAGGTGTATTTTTTGCTTTTTACCCCTCTGCCTTTTCTGGGGCTTTACACAGAGTAGGGCCCAGTAACCACTTGTTGACTGAGCACAGATCTTCATTGGTACAACCAGCTCTTGGTCACTGCAGTGGAGCAGAGGGGGGACCTCGGCCGTCAGCCAGTTTGGGAAGCATGGGGTGAACACAGATAAACAGGCATCTTCACTGTGGGGTCTGCAGGGTGTCGTGGGATAGCATGTGGAGTGATTCCTAAACTTACTTAATAGAAGATTTTTTCTTCTTTTTCTTCCACCTGCCCTATACTTTTGAGAGCCTGTTTGCTGTTTGGGAGATAGAGTTGCTTTTGAAAAATCGGGGGGCCTCCCAAAATCTTTTTAATCATGAACTTCGTTTTAACTCCAAAATGTTACCTCTTTTGAACAGGATCTCCTTCAGATTCGATCATACATCTATGCAGAAGAGCCAAATATCGACATTCACAACTTTGTGGGAACTTTTACCAGAGTAAGTAGGCTTAGCTGACTGTGCGATCCTGCCTTACTGAGAGCACGTGCTAGTGACGGAGACCTACAGAGAAGCGTTGACAGGTCTTTGTCAGGGGGTAGCTTTGCTCCAGGGAGGGGTGAAGTTCCCCTAAGAAGCCCCACCTTGAAAGCTGACATAGTGTTTCTCAGTGAGGTTGGCACAGCGGGATTTTCTCCAGGCCTCTGAACAGCTTGAATTACCTGACAGCGTAGAGCCGAGTGGTGTTAGAATTAACGGGAACTCTGTGGTGTGAAGGCAGGTACTCTTTCTGTCCCCTTCGGGCACGTTCATGACCTCTTCTACCCACACAAGTCCCGGCTGGCATTGTTAACAATTTTTAAGCCACTTCCCAACTATTCAGGATAGAAATTAAATTTGGATTTCAATTATTTGAAGAATCTGGGACAGTAGATTTATAGAACCCACATTAAATTCACGGTCTCTTTCTAGAAGCCATAGGACTGGCCAGCAAAGGGCCGTTTGTGTTTGATTTGCATCTGCATTTTAGCTCTTGCCTTCTAAGACATGTCTTCAGTGTTAGAAGCCTGTCCTTCTTCAGTCACAAACCAGTCTTTTCACGAATGGCCCTGGGAATGAAAACCACGCCGAGGACGGTAGCTTATGAGCTTGTCCTTTTTCTCCTGGCTGAACTGGGGGCTTCCAAATAGGGGTCATCCTCTCTTCCTGTCTTGGGAAGAGCAGGCTGGAGACAGCATGTGGATTCTGCCAGAACCTCGGTGGATAAATGCGTGTCCGTTGGTCTTTTGCAGGAAGACAGTGACCCTCCGATCAGCGAGAGCTTGAGCATAGAGAACACACTCTGGGCTGGTACTGTCATCGCGTCGGGTAAGGGCTCCCTTTCTGAGGAATGTGTTAGCAATTTGAAAAGGAAAGAAAATCCTTTTGTATAATTAGAATAATCATCTGTCAGTTGGGAAAATTAGCCATCGGTCATATGGTGTTTTCCACTTGCTCCTGCCCCTCCAGGGAATTTTGCTGACATCCGATTGCCCCTCGGACGCTTGTGGGCGTCTCTAAGAGAAGCTGCTCCGGCCGGTGCGCTTTTCAGCAGCGTCCACTCTGGGAATAGCCCTTAATTGCCACCTGAGATTGACATTCTAATCTCTCCCAGAAACTGGGCCAGCCTGGATGTTCTGGCCAGAAGTTGTGTCCGTGGGGGCTGCCGAGCCAGTCCTGCAGGTCTTGGCCCCTCACCCCCACCCCCGTGCACAGGAAAGGGCCGTGGGCCTGAGTTGGAGCCTTGGTGTTTCAAACGCTGAGGTGATGTGGAAATTGTGTCTTTTACTTTTTGAACCCTGGGGTGAGACGGACCTGAAGAGTTCCAGGGGCTGAGCAGTGTCTGAGGTAGCAGTGCTTGGTAGCATTGGGGTGCCACCAGGCTGTCGGGCACCTCGTCGAGCCCTTTACGTGCATTACCCATTTCACTGACCCCCCCCAACATCACCGTGAGGGCAGCTGCCAGTATTATCCATTCTGCAGATGAGGAAATCGAGGGCTCAGTGAGGCTGAGTAACTTGCCCAAGGTCACACAGCACGTAAAAGGCAGAGCTGGGACTTGAACCCAGGCACTCTGCTCCAGAAGCAGAACATATTGTGCAGCTATTGTTACTATACTATATTACATATATTATGTAACAGTATATACTGTTATTAACATGTAATTACACTACTGCCAACTTCCTGTCTCTACTGTTGGAGGATCACTTTTTCCCTCTCCGAGCACATTTCCCTCCTGCCAACCTGTTTTCTTGTGCTTGATGCTGCTTTGTGGCTCTTCAGTACAGCAGGTGCTCAGGATACTCTGTGGCTAGGAAAGGGACTGACCAGCACAGACCAGCACAAACTAAATGCAGGGCCGCCTTGTTTACCGTCCACAGATGAACCGCTTAATGCAAACGGACACTCATGAGCGCTAGTGAGAAATGGGTCCTTAAGGTTCTGCACGGTCTTGAGGCCACGCCCACTGCCAGGCCACACCCACCAGCCCCTGCAGCAGCCCTTCGCCTCCAGCCTCTCCCCTGCCACGTGTCCACCCACGTCTCTCAGAACTGGTTACTCTTCCTTCCCAGTTTTCCTCCCCTTTGAAGTCATTTATTAACAAGTAATTATTCCTTTTAATCTTTAATAATTTGAGAGAAAAATAAGGAGTGTTTTGATTTGCATTTCCTAGATAGCCTGGAAGGTTGGCTTTCCTTGTGGTCTGTCTGGTCTCTTCCTTTGTCGCTTACTTTTTGTACCCACTAGCTGTTTTTTCTCTTTCTGTTATTCGTTTGTCAGAGTTCCCCATTTCTGGTTTTTGAAACGATTTTATGGTGTATTTCATATGCAGGAGTTTCATAGTGTTACTGTTCTTGTCTGGTGATAGAGGGTATCTTGTTATTGTTTTGTTTCATTGTGAATAGAGGAAACATCTTTCTACACATAAGACATTTCTTAATGTTTTGGTCAGTCTACTTTCTGTTTCTTATTGACTTGTAAGCATGCTTCATAGCAGAGAGAATATCAAACTGTCATCTCGTACGTGACGCAGATCTCTTTTCAAAGTTTATTGTTTGTTTTTTGTTTTTGTCTTTGATGTGCTTTGTTTGGTTGTTTCAGATAGAAAATCTAAATATTGATGTTATCCACATTTCCATAGAAACGGAATTCCTAGGGCAAAGGGTATATACATTTTACATTTTAGTTCACCCAGTAAACTTCCTCTTCTTCTAAATCACACTCCTGATGATCTGACCTTATATGTACATCCTAGCTAACGCTTTCTTCTGTTTGACTTTTTAATTTCTGCCCATTTGATAGCCGTTGAATAAATATCTAACTTATTGATTTGCCTTTTAAAAGTTATTTGTGGGGGTGCCTGGCTGGCTCAGGTGGTGGAACATGTGACTCTTGATCTTGGGGTTGTGGGTTTGAGCCCCATGTTGAGTACAGAGATTACTTAAAAAAAAA